TATCGGTGTATGCAGAGCCCGACTCTCGTTCCTGGGGAAGCCCATAGCTGTGAAGGTAAGGGTCTCTCTGTTGTCAGGGGAGGGAGTAGGTGGGTGTTAGTGGAAGGCTCTCTCAGGTGGGGGGGGGGGGGAGCAGGGGTGTTGTTGGTCACTGTCAGGCTCTCTCCACGGGGGTGGTGGGGTCCGATGTTGGTCGGTGTCAGGCTCTCTCTGAAGGGGGGGGGGGGGGGCTCTCTGATTTTTATGTTGCCTAGGGCAGCACAAAACCTAAATACACCACTGAGTAGGGGGCCCCATGAGATGCCCCTGGTACCTTTTTCATAGGCTTTTTTGAGTTTGGGCAAGGACACAGGGGCCCCATGATCTCCTATTGCCCGGGGACCTCATGATTTGATAGTCCGCCCCTGGTTACAGCCTAATTCCTGGATGGACTACTCAGAATACGCATATTCGACTGGTTTCAATGAATATCCAGTAAAAAGGAAATGGCTTCGTTCTCGTTGGTCTTTCTTGGCCATGAGGTTCTGGTAAAAGGTGGCCAGACATGGCCAAGGAGACATCACAGAAGAAACCTCGACACGGTTAAAATGCAAAGAGCTCATTCTTCAGGAATATATGGGCTGGCTATGTAACACGGGTTGTGTGCGTTCCTACGAAACTTCTTGACAACGCTAATAGAAAAGAATAAATACTTTTTTTCTACATGAATTGACTTTAATTTCACATTTCCACGCAGAGCTCTTACCCACAATAAAGGAAACAGTCATTTTAATTTCTCTGAAAAGCTCTTGGGCCATTTAACATTCACGAAGTACCATCTGTAGCAGACAATTGCCTTGCCTAGTCTTCTCTGTCTTTTCTAAATAAGCCAAAGTAAAAAATGATCCATCAAGGTTACTCAGAAAAATGAATGTTTCTTAGGAATGTTCTAAACGCATCAACGTTGCTTGGGAGCTGGATACATGCGAGTGCTGAAAACAGGCAGCATGTGCTGGAAAATGACAAGGCAGTGGGGATGTCTGCCCACCTGAAGCTAGCAATGCGGTAGCGGATGACTCACTGCGCAACACTGGAAGATGGCGGGAGCTTAACCCCTTCACGCCTAAGGGTAACACCAGGGGCGGACTGACAAAACTCATGGGGGCCCCCCGGGCAATAGGGGATCATGGGGCCCCTGTGTCCTTGCCCAAACTCAAAAAAGCCTATGTAAAAAAAAAAAAAAAAAAAAAAAAAGGTTACTAGGCGCATCTCATGGGGCCCCCTACTGACCCCAGGGCCCTCGGGCAATGCCCGAGTTTCCAAATGGTCAGTACCACCCTGGGTAACACAAATCTACAGTGAGGAACAAGAAGTATTTGAACACCCTGCGATTTTGCAAGTTCTCCCACTTAGAAAATCATGGAGGGGTCTGAAATTCACATTGTAGTGCATTCCTACTCTGAGAGACAGAATTTAAAAACAAATCAGGAAATCAGATTTGTAAAGAATGTATTTGTCTTCAGCCTGCTGATTGTAAATGCCGCTAAGCACATTTTTGCAACGGTTGACATGTGTTCGTACAATACCGTAACATAATCGCCAATGTATGGGGCCATGGTTCCTCAACCACACTCAAAAGCACCATGAATTTGGACCCTGCGGCCATCTAATGGGGCCCCCGGGCAAACAGGAGATGCTGAACAGAAGTAAATGCCCAAGGCACAATCTTTGCCAACGTTGACCATGTGGCCCTTGTGCAGTGCCCGTAAAGTCAGTCCGTAACATATCACCACAACTACTTTGTACATCCGGGTGAATTTAACCTGTTTTTTTTTCAGGACAAATTGGGCTTTCATTTGGTGGTAAAATGGTCATGGATATCTCCTGATTTTTTTTTTATTATCAAAGGAAAACTGGACCCAAAATAGTAAAAAAAAAAAATAAAATATCTTTTATTTAGCTGTGTGTTTCTTGTTACTACCATAACCTACCAAAGAACAACCCAAAATAAATTATCCAGCTCTTGACGATCGCAGCGATAACCATATATGTGTGTGTGTTATTTGTTGTTTGTACTGGTAATACAGCCCAGAAACAAATAGTGCGCATTTTGTTTTTTCGTCTTTGTTTTTTTTTTTTTTAACCTAAAACCGGGGACGGACTGACACAACTCATGGGGCCCCAGGGCAAGGGGGTAATCATGGGGCCCCTGTGTCCTTGGCCCAAACTCAAAAAAGCCTATGAGATTTAAAAAAAAAAAAAAAAAAAAAAAAAAAAAAAGGGATGCTGTACCAGGGGCATCTCATGGGGCCCCCTACTTACCCAGGGCCCTCTAGGGCAGTGCCTGAGTTTCCAAATGGTCAGGGTCCACCCCTGCCTAAAACACACACTGACACCAGTTTTTTTTTTTTTTTTTTTTTTTTTTTTTTATTTTTTTTTTTTTTTTTTTTTTTTTTTAATTCTGACCTTTGACCGTGACCCAAACAACCCTGGCACTGAAACTAGATCAAATCTTGATCTAGGTATTTTTATTCTTTAATATTTATCTTTTTTTTTTTTTTTTTACAAACTTTTTTCTTTTCCATGCCAGGAGTTAGAGAGATACAATGTATCTCTCTCCCTCCATTCACAGAGAGAGAAAAAAAAGAAAAAAAAAAAAAAAAAAGAAGAAAGAAAAAAAAGGAAGCTGGGCTGCACAGTGACTGATCACTGATAGCAAATCAGAGGCTATCACAGCGATCATGTGACCCGGAATCGTGGAGTCCCGGGGCCCGATCGTTAGAATGGGACCCGGGGCTCTCAGTGACCACCGTGGTCTTTGTGCTGGGAGCGCGCAGTGTGGCACTGCTCCCAGCACAAAGACGGTACTTTAAATGTGCGGCCCCCATGGAAAAAAGCCCAGTTCCGTGAGGCAGCCCACCACTTATTTTTTGTGACGTCGGCGTCAAGGGGGGTTAAAGTGGCTGTAGACCTCTGAAATAGAAAAAAAAAATAAAATGAACAAAGCACATCCTTCTATAGTATGCATTTGCCTCTATCCAAAGCACCTAGTGTGATTTTTGCCTCCTCTCTCATTCCTCTGTGTGAGTCATTTCTGTCAGTCAATCCCAGAAAACAGAAAAAAAAAAACAAAACAAAAAAAAAAAAAAAAACAAAGAAAAAAGTAAAAGAAAAAAAAAAAAAAAACCGAGAGACAGGAGAAAGAAAATAAAAAAAAAAAAAAAGTCAGAAGAAGATAAAAAAAAAAAGAAAAAAAGACTGAGTGACAGAAAGAAAAAAAAAAAAAAAAAAAATGTCAGACAGTAAAAGGAAAAAAGGAAGAAGGAAAAAAGACTATGAGGACAGACAGAAAAAAAACAAAGAAAAGAAAAAGAACGATTGTCAGACAGTAAAAAAGACAAAGAAAAAAAAAAAAAAAAAAAAAAAAAAAGTAGATGTCTCAGTTTACAAAAAGCACATCCTTCTATAGTGTGTATTTGTCTCTATCCAAAGCACCTAGTGTGATTTCTGCCTCCTCTCTATTCCTCTGTTAGTCATTTTGTCAGTCAATCCCAGATGACAGAAATAAAATAAAAAAAATATATAAAATATATTTATTTTTTTATATATACTCTGGTTATCTTTGTATTATATAATATTATATTTGTTTATATGATCTGATATCATTTATATAGACATATAACACACAAATAAATAAAAAATATATCATTTTGTTTTTTACTCGGGTTATCTTTGTGTGATATTAACATTTGTTTGCATGATCTGAATCATATACCCCTTGAGGGTTAGGGAGACTCATGTGAATGTACATATATGTGTAAAGCGCTGCGTAAATTGACGGCGCTATACAAGTACCTGAAATAAATAAATTTAAGAATAGTAAATTAATAAAAAAAAAAAAAAAAATCAGGAAGTCGGCAAATTAATTTTTCACAGCATTGTATGTCAATAAAACATATTAGATTTGTTCGGCTTGTTTTCGATTACAAGTGAATTTGGTTGTCTTGGACTGAATGAGAAATGTCAGGTTTTTTTTTTTTTTTAATGAAATGCTTATTGCTTAGTGAAATCCCTTTTTTATTTCTAAATAATACTTGTTTAATTGAGTTGACTCACTCAGTAATTCTCTGTGTGTAATCATGTAACAACCACCTAATATCAATGGGATAATTGCATTCATAGACCTTTTTGCAGAATATTTTTGAGGAATCTGAGCATCCTCTATTGTCTCTTTTCCACTTGAATGTTGCGATTATAATACACACACTTTATATCAATTCTATATGGTTTTTCAAACAGTTCATGGACAACTGACCATCGCACCCACACTGCGTGGCCAATGTTTCCGGCGAATGATATGGTTTAATGCTAGAGCATACAAAGACATTGTAGATTAACGTGCAATAACCGATTTGGTGAAGGCCCTTTTCTGCTCCAGCTTGATGGTGGCCCTGTGTATAAAATCAGCTCCATCGAGACATGGTTTGACCAGTTTGATGTTGAAGAAATTAAGTGCCTACAGAACCTCAACCCTACTGAATACCTTTGGGATGAATTGAAATGCCAATCAGGATCCAGGTCTTCTCACCCATCAGTATCGGACCTCAAAAATGGGCACAAATTTCCAGAGATACTCCAAAATATTGTGGAAAGTCTTCCAAGAAGAGTGGAGGATCTTATAGCCACAAAAAAGGGAAACTCCATATTAATGGCCACGGTTCTGGAATAGGATCTCCAACAAGCTCGGAACACTACTGAACACCTTCGAGATAAATTGGACAACCAGTTGTGAGCCAGATATTATCATCCAACATCAGTAACGGCCCTCACAAATGTTCTTTTGGTTGACCAGGGTTATAGCCGCTCTTCACCTCAAGCCTTGAAAAAGTCCTTTTTCAGTTCCAGCATGGCTTTGCACAAAGCCAGCTCCATAAAGACTTGGTGTGACCAGTTTAGTATGAAGGCACTTGGAGTGTCCTGAAAAAGAGCTCTGACCTTAACCCTACTGAACACCTTTGGAATGAATTGGAACGCTGATTGTGAGTCAGGTCTTCTCATACAACATTAGTACTGGACAAAAAAAAAAAAAAAAAAAAAAACCCCAAAAGAGTTAAGGAACAAAGGCCTGAAAAAAAAAAAAAAAAAAAAGCCCCCAAAAGAGTTAAACTAGCCACTCAACTCAATTAATACCTCTAGACTGTGATGTCCATAAGCTCACACACGTGATGGTCGGGTGTACACAGGATTTACACATATAGGGGCTCTCTTCCCCTCAAAAAAGATAAATAATAATAATATTATACAAAAAAAAAAAAAAAAAAAAAAAAAAAAAAAAAAAAAAAAAAAAAAAAGGAAACCCCACACAAAAACAGTCCGGGTTTTAATTATATTGCTCGTACGCGGAAAAGCAATTCTTTTTACAGGAGTAGACTCTTCTATAAAGTGGATTCTGAACTCCAAGAAGATGTTAACGACACAAATAATAGTAGCGGTGTCTTCATTAATAAATCATTAAACTGAAGAACAAAAATGTATTGTACCGTATTGCAGCTTACGGGTCCTTAGATGGAGGCTGTGTTGGAATTCTTTATTCAGGCCAAGAACATTTTCTGCAAGTGCAGAAAAATACATGCTGATCCCATCAGAAATCCGGTGAACTTTTAACTTCCTGTGTGCCTAAAGTGATTGTAAACCTCAGACATGAAATATGAACAAAGCACATCCCTCTATAGTGCGTCCTTGTCTCAGTCCAGAGCACTGAGTGTCATTTCGGTTTGGTGCTGCTTCCTTCCTCTGCTATCAGCATGAGTCACTTCATGACAGCAAGAGGAAAGAATGGTGACGGGGAGGGGCCTCAATAGACTGCCATAGCAACAGATCTTCCAGCAGCAGAAACAACAGATCTTCCTCAACAGCAGCATAACCCTTCCAGAAACAACTGACCCACCCTCCAGATTCAACAGCATATCCCTTCCAGCAATGATTGACCAACCAGAAACAATAGATTCTTCCTCAACAGCACATCTCTTTCAGAAACATCCCAAGATCCTCCTCTAGTAGCGATAGATCCCCCAGCAGCCAGCATCAATAGGCTCTACAGAGCATGTCTGATTGGGTTACTGTAGAGCAGGCAAGAGGGCTCTACGGGTAGGTCTCTGGAACCTCCCCTTTTTTCCTTGAGTCTGGGGTAGAAGTTGGCTCAATCCCAGGCAGTGTGGCAGATAGGCCCATCAATAAGAGAGAGCCTAGCCAGCAAGGGAGAGTCTGGTGGTTGGGGTGGAAGATGGGAGTGCTGAGGACTGGGAGGAGACCCTGGGGAATGGGGGGGGGGGGGGGGGCACAGCCTCCAGGCTGGAGCTGAGGAGGAGGAAGGAGCAGAGGTTTAGGCAGAAGGAACTGCACCACGAGTCCTATCCAAAGGGATCCCTGTTCTGCAAAAGCCAGCAAGTTCTCCCTGGGACAGTGCTAAGGACTGTTCCGGAACCCCTTGCTCTGGGATACTCCCCGAGGCAGCCGGGTGGTGGGTGGACAGTTTCCAAAGGGATTGGTAAAGATTCACTTAAAAGGGGACCAAGTGCTCCTTAAAGAGACTTGAACCATCAAGAGCACAGAATCCACTCCGGAGGGAGCAGAATCCAGGATCCATCTTTTTTTTTGTACAGAAAATAGGACATTTGCCCCCAGAGTTGCGGTTTTCAAGTCAAGTTGGGCATCCCATATACCCCTAGACCCTATCCAAGTGATTCACCCCAAATAAAACCAAGCCCATGGACTGGTTTTTGACCCTAAATGGAAGCTGGAAAAAGCAGGTTGCCTGGCTGTGCAGCTAAAAGGGGGCCCCAAAAACTCAGCGGCTGCTTAGGAGGTACGTAGAGAACGATTATACGGCCTAAGAGAGGGACAGAGTGGGTTAGGTTTCCCTCCCTGGTGTCATGTGACTCGGTGTTACAAGGTCTCAGGTGTGAATGGGGGAGGGTATGTTAAATTTGGTGTTATTGCGCTCACTCTCTCATACTGGTCACTGGAAGTTTCTTCATGGCAAAGAACTCTGAGGATCTGAAAAAAAGAATTTTTGCTCTACATAAAGAATTTTTGCTCTACATAAAGATGGCCTAGGCTATAAGAAGATTGCCAAGACCCTGAAACTGAGCTGCAGCACGGTGGCCAAGACCATACAGTGGTCTAACAGGACAGGTTCCCCTCAGAACAGGCCTCGCCATGGTCCAAAGAAGTTGAGTGCACGTGCTCAGCGTCATATCCAGAGGTTGTCTTTGGGAAATAGACGTACGAGTGCTGCCAGCATTGCTGTAGAGGTTGAAGGGGTGAGGTCAGCCTGGCAGTGCTCAGGCCATATGCCGCACACTGCATCAAATTGTTCTGCATGGCTGTCGTCCCAGAAGGAAGCCTCTTCTAAAGATGATGCACAAAAAAGCCCCAAAAACAGTTTGCTGAAGACAAGCAGACTAAGGACTGGATTACTGGAACCATGTCCTGTGGTCTGATGATACCAACATCAACGGATTCGGTTCAGATGGTGTCAAGCGTGCGTGGCGGCAACCAGGTGAGGAGTACAAAGACAAGTGTGTCTTGCCTACAGTCAAGCATGGTGGTGGGAGTGTCATGGCCGGTGGCTGCATGAGTGCTGCCGGCACTGGGGAGCTACAGTTCATTGAGGGAACCATGAATGCCAACATGTACTGTGACATACTGAAGCAGAGCATGATCCCCTCCCTTCAGAAACTGGGCAGTAGGGCAGTATTCCAACATAACGACCCCAAACACACCTCCAAGACCACCACTGCCTAAAGGTGATGGACTGGCCAAGCATGTTTCCAGACCTAAACCCTATTGAACATCTGTGGGGCATCCTCAAGCAGAAGGTGGAGGAGCGCAAGGTCTCCAACATCCACCAGCTCCGTGATGACATCATTATGGAGGAGTGGAAGAGGACTCCAGTGGCAACCTGTGAAGCTCTGGTGACCTCCATGCCCAAGAGGGTTAAGGCAGTGCTGGAAAATAATGGCGGCCACACAAAAATATTGACACTTTGGGACCAATTTGGACCTTGTCACTTGGGGGTGGACTCACTTTTGTTGCCAGCGGCTTAGACATTAATGGCGGTGTGTTGAGTTATTTTGAGGGGACAGCAAATTTACATGTTAAACAAGCTGTACACTGACTACGTCACATTGTGGCAAAGTGTCATTTCTTCAGTGTTGTCACATGAAAAGGTAGAATCAAATATTTAAAAAAAAAATGTGGGAGGGGAGGACTCACTTCTGGGAAAATATATTATATATACACCCACACTTTGTATATTTTTTTTAATTATCTCACCATTACTTAAAAAAATAAAAAATATATGTCTATAATTTTTTTTTATTTTCTCACCATTACTTTTTTTTTTTAAACATATATGAAGTGAATAAATCATCACTAGATACAGATACTACACCCAGAACATTCTGGTACAGGACAATCAGCTCTCCATGAAACACCAAAGAACATGAAGCCCCCCTCGTTCCTCCCACTTCGTGAAAGAAGAAGAACGTGGGAGCGATGCAGCGTCCTCCACATCGCACAGCCAGCGGCCATTATATAATAGGCTGGTAATAGTTTGCAAAGTGGACTAAAGGCAGATGTACGGAGAGACAGAACGGGTACATGCTCGTTATCGCTCATGTACAGGATCTTTCCCAGCAGGACCCTCCTCATCCTCAGCACCCTCTGCAATCTTTAGACAGAAGCTTCCTCGCTTTTGTCTCCATATCTCCCCCCCCCCACCTCCGCAATAGAACACCATGCCTCTTCTCTCTGCAGACAGCCATGGAGACACAGAAGGGGAGAAAGTAATGATGCTTTATATGAGGACTGTACTGAAAGTAATGCAAAAGTAGGCAGGACTTTTCTATTAACTTACAGAAGTTGTTCAGATTTCACATGGAACCCTTCCTCTATAGGAACTCTTCTTTTTCATTGCAGGTAAATAATGGGATTCCAAGCCGTAGCAACTCATTGAGGAGGGAGGGTGCAGACTGACATCCATAGAAGGCTACAGAAGGGTTACGGAGACGACACCATTGACAAGACATTTCCATAGTCTTGTGTGAATGACAGAGAGCCTGCACCCCTCCTTGTGTCAAGGCCTCAATGATGGTACGTTGCTTCCACTTTGAAGGGAAAAGGCAGGAAGGTGGGGAAAAAAAAAAAAAAAAAAAAAAAAAAAAAAAAAAAAAGGCAAGGCAAGGCCAGGCCAAAAAAAAAGAAGAAAAAGGCAAGGCCAGGCCAAAAAAAAAGAAAAAAAGGCAAGGCCAGGCCAAAAAAAAAAGAAAAAAAGGCAAGGCCAGGCCCAAAAAAAAGAAAAAAGGCAAGGCCAGGGCCAAAAAAAAAGAAAAAAGGCAAGGCCAGGCCAAAAAAAGAAAAAGGCCAGGCAAAGATTAAAGGAAAAGAAGGTAGGGGAAGGCAGGAAGGTAGGGGAAGGCAGGAAGGTAGGGGAAGGCAGGAAGGTAGGGGAAGGCAGGAAGGTAGGGGAAGGCAGGAAGGTAGGGGAAGGAAGGCAGGAAGGTAGGGGAAGGCAGGAAGGTAGGGGAAGGCAGGAAGGTAGGGGAAGGCAGGAAGGTAGGGGAAGGCAGGAAGGTAGGGGAAGGCAGGAAGGTAGGGGAAGGCAGGAAGGTAGGGGAAGGCAGGAAGGTAGGGGAAGGCAGGAAGGTAGGGGAAGGCAGGAAGGTAGGGGAAGGCAGGAAGGTAGGGGAAGGCAGGAAGGTAGGGGAAGGCAGGAAGGTAGGGGAAGGCAGGAAGGTAGGGGAAGGCAGGAAGGTAGGGGAAGGCAGGAAGGTAGGGGAAGGCAGCAAGGCCGGCCTAATATGAAGCAGAGTTACTCTACCAACACTTGAAATTATAAGGATCTATACAGGTTAATAAAGGCACGTCCACTTTTTGATTACATTCAGTGCAGTCCTTGTATCGCCTCCAAGCAAGAGAAAGCCATGGAAGTCCAGTCATGGAGAGATCCATCAAGATGAGTTGGCAGAGCAGCCAAAATTAAAAAATATAATTAGGAACTTCACCCAACTGCCCCCCCTGCGTATTAGAAAGCAGCAGGTCTGTGGGACCCAAGAGGTGCATGTGCTGTGGATTGCCAGGAATTTGCTCATGTGCAGACACACCGCAGGTCTCTGCCATGTTGAAACCCATGGCATGTCAGCACATGCACAGGATATTGGTCAAATATGGCGGCATAGGAGAAGGAAGCAGAAGTTTGGACTGAAAGAGGGAGGACAACGACGGACTCCATGGACCAACAAATATGTTTTTTAGTTACAAATATGAACAATGTACATGCTTTTTGAACGGTCCTGCAGCCTCCCAAGTCTTGTGACCTGTGTGGCTGAGGGAGGGGATGGCGCAAGGGATGTCATCCTTGCCTTGGCAAGTATTGCAAAGTGGTAGTGGGCACTGAAAAGAAAGAAAAAAAAAAAAAAAAAAAAAAAAAAAAGTAAGCCTTGACAGGCATACTACAATGTTTCATATATTATGGACACGAGGTCTTTAACAATTGTTCTTCACTCAGTCTTGGTTTCATCTGTCCCGTGTTTATGTAACATATATACAGAATTGTGTATGGAATGTTTTTTGTATGCTCCCTCTTTTGTGATACGCTTGGCATACTAGCCTTTTATTAAAATGTACACAATTGCCAGATCTGCCTTAAAAGTCCCATAAAGGGGGTTTTATACGATAACTTCTAAAGTAGGTCACATTTTTCTCTCTAATAGAACATCACAAATAAATTGTCAAGAGCACAATCAATTCCAGCCTTTGTTATAAAACACTCAGCATAGCAGAATACAAGTCCAAAGGATGGAGAAAAATCAGCGTAACACATCACACAGGTTCTGCAGCTCTCTATAAATGGCTTGGAAACAACCGCCATTATTGCAGTCGAGACAAACCAACTGGAGCAAACTTACAGCAGGCACAATTTTTAAAAAAAACCCCAAAATTTATATATATATATATATATATATATATATATATATATATATATATATTTATTTTTTTAATTGAATTTTTTTTTAAATATATTGAGTATGGCCAAAATTGTTGCATTTCAAATATATGTCATCATATTTGGGAAGAATATATTTCAAATATATTTTCATCCATGTGGGGGGAGCTGTCATGTTGACTTTATGGGGCCCCGTGGCTTCTAACAGTAGCCCTGCCATTGCTTAATGGACTGACGGACTCTAAAGAACTTTCCCTCCTATGTAAGGTAGGATGACCTCATGGGGCAGGGGCACAAAGAATTACCTATACTTTTAGTAAATAACATTGCGTTTACACACATCTTGGGCTGGTCTGCAGTCACTTTAGGACACCATGCATGCTTGGTGTATCACGGCACAGGGTTCATACCAGAGAACAAAGAGAAGATAGAGAAGACGTACTACAGATGTCTAACGTGCTGTGAAGCTGTTCAGAAGAGACTATATATTGCCATTGCCAATGACTACAGTACTAGTGTGTATGTGTAAAAGCAGCCAGCCAGTTGGGAAGAGGGTGTAACTTGGTGTATGTGACAAAAGGCCCTGGTAGTGAAGGAGCTTGTGTGCCAAGGCTCCTTGCCTAGCAACCAGAACCCCAATACTGGATCCAACTTGAGGGCACCTAGCATCCTAAAGCCCCAGCCTGGAATATGAACAGTCCTTGGGGGAAGAATAAGCACAGGTTGTGTACAAAACTGGGGAGGAGATCCTAAAAAAGGAAAAACACAACTGGCTAATCCAGCATTTCTCAACCTTTTTAGCATGGTGGAACCCTTGAAATAACATCAGTCCGATCTCGGGAACCACTGTGGGGGGAGTTTGGGGGGCACAGTTCTGGCACCTCCAGCATTGAATGTGCATTTATTGGTAAGGGGTTCTGGAGGGTCTATTCATGAAGGGGGGGTGCTGTGGGATTTATTGGCACTGGGTTGGATCTAATGGTGCTGCTGAGTCAATTGTTGCTTGGGGGTATTTTGTTGCAGAAGTGTGTTGTTGCTGTTTTGCTCGGGGGGGGGGGGGGGTCTATTGTTGCAGGGAAGTGCCCATTGCTGCTAGGGGAATATATTGTTGCGGGAAGGGTCTATTGTTGGTGCTGCTGGGTCAATTGATGCTTTGGGGTATTTTGTTGCAGGAGTGTATATTGTTGCTTATCAATTGTTTCTGGGTGGGAGGGTCTATTGATGCTGGGTGGTATTTTGTTGCAGGGGAGTGGGTCTATTGCTGCTATGGGAATATATTGTTGTTGGAAGGGTCCATTTTTGGTGATGCTGGGTCAGTAGATCCTTGTGGGTATTTTATTGCGGAAGTGTTTGTTACTGGGGCAATCTATTGTTACTGGGGGGGGGTCTATTGCTGATAGGGGGATATATTGTTGCTGGAAGGGTCTAATTTTGGTGCTGCTAGGTCAGTTGATGTTGGGGGGGGTATTTTGTTGGGAAAGAGTTTGTTGCTGGGGGGGGGGGGGGGGGCGCT